CCTCCATGCGGCGGCGCGCCTCATCCCCTTCCCCGCCGGTGGACCACTCCGGGGTCTCGTCCTCGGCGGCGACGCCGAGCAGCACGAGCACGCCGCACGGCACCGTGGGCCGGTTGGCGAAGCGTACCAGGGCGTCGGGGATGCGGTAGCTCCACAGGACCGTCTGGCTGGTGGTGCCAAAGGCGGTGGCGGCGCTGGCGAACCACGTGCCGTCGGACCTACTACCGCTGGTGGTGGTGGCGGCGCTGATGCCGGCCCCGTACGTCCCGCCACCGCCACCGCCGACGATGCGCAGGTGGTCCACCGACAAGCTGTCGAGCTGGACCGAGCTCTGGAGCCGCTCCTCGAGCGCCAGGGCCGTCGCGAGGCCCTCGGCCGAGATCTGGCAGGTGATGGGACGCGGGCCTCGGACCCCGCTACGTCGCGTCGAGCCCACGGACGACGACATGTCGGTTCCCTTGCGCCGGAGGGTGTCGTCGGCCTGGTCGCGGGGCACCCGCCAGCTGCTGCTGCTAGTGCTGTCGTCCTTGTCGCTCTTATCCTGGCCTTCTGCCGCCGCCGCCGCCCCCTTGTCCCCGCCGACCTTTGCGTCGCCTCCGCCGCTCACGTCTACTTCCGCCACCGCCGCCGCCCTCCCCCTCGGCCTCCGCGTCCACGGCGGCAGCTCGACCCAGTAGGGCGGCAGGTCGGAGCAGTCGCGCGTCGTCCACGCGTCGGCCCACGACACGGCGAGCGACAGGTGGCCGTCCGAGTCGGTCAGGGGCGCGACCGTCAGGGCCGGGCGGGCGCCGTCCGGGCTGCGCATCAGCACGCAGCCCACGGGGGCCCATAGGCCCGTGGACCGCAGCAGCCGCCAGCCGTGCGGCTCGGGCGCCGCGCCCAGGTCGAGCAGGTAGCAGACCAGGTCGTCAAAGGCCACCTCGGCCTGCGGCTGCCGCAGCTGGTCGGCGTACTCGACGCGCTGCGTCCGCAGGCCGATGGCGCTCGTGCGCCAGTTGAAGGCCGTCCACGACCCTCCGGGGATGGCGCTGGGGCCCGCGCGCGCCAGCCGCCAGTACTGGGACCGGTGCTGGAATCGGTCCCAGGGGGCCACGGCGTACCGGGGTAGCTCGATCTCGATGACGCGGTTCACCACGTCGCCGCGCGTCAGCGCCGTCAGCTGCGCGCGCCGCAGCGTCCGCTTGATGCGCGAGACGGCCACCAGCGTCACCACTGTGTTGTACAGGATCGGCAGCACGCCCAGAACGGCAAGGGGAACGCCGATATAAGCTGCGGGCTGGCGTGTTAGCTTTGGGGCAATGGTGGTTATTTAACATAGGTCAAGGTACTAACTGATAATGTCCGTTGCTGTGTGGGTGTTGTTGTCCGACATCTTGTGTGATTGGCACCGGCGGCGGGCTGGCCAACCGGATGCGAGGGTTCGCTGACGAGGAGAAGGTCTGGGCAAGAACAACAGCTCGATGAAAGTGTAAAAAGAAAGGGCGTCGATTGCGATAATCCCAGGCAAAGGGGCAGGGCAAACTTCAGCCGCACGTTAGCGACCCCCGCCCGCCTTCCATCCCCTGCATTGGTGCCGATCGTGTCCCAGCTGAATACATCGGTCTGGGAACATGTGTGGGAGCAAATAAAGGTTGTTCAGAATTTGATCGTACAGGTTTCCCAGGAGGCGTCCCAAACGGGCACCTCTAGGTATATCCGTCAGAGCCCCAAAGCCTCGCTCAATGACGCAGAATTTGGACGGAAAAAGAAGGAGACTGCCCGAGATCACAACAAGACGAGCATCACATTAATCGGAATATATCGTTTGGCGAGTCCATCGACTCGGAAAAGACTAGTTTATTGATCGAGAGGTATCTTTTGTTGGATGCGAGATCTATAGTACTTACCAGATGTCACCGCATAACTTACCTGCGCCCATGTCTACCTACGGCGTTCACGGCGACGATTGGCTGCAAGCTAGGCTCACTGAGTGTTCACTGATGCTGATTTCGACTGTTAGCTCGAGATCCCTGCCAAATCTCGACAATTGAACAGAAGATGGCGAAAGGTGCAGAATCAGATATTTGCCTTGTCAAGGGCAGTCTCATCAAAGCATATGCTATGTAGACCGTCGTGATAAAATTTAAATCATCATGTGAGGAAGGAGGATGTGTTGGGAAGTGCGAAGCGAAGTAAAGCAACTGCGACGACTTACTCAGATGGCTAGGATGCACCAAGAATCAAGCTGGTACGGCGACCAAGTTACGAATCAGTTGGAGCATCTGTATGGAGTAGGTCAGCAAGCTGCAACACTTCAGTCAAATGACAAAAAAAGGAATGACAGATCCAAAGATCAGAAATGGACAGTCTCATCTTTGCGGTTAAGCTCGGACATATGCTTGTCTTAATTTGTTGAGTCGAATCATCATGTTGGGTTTGGTAGGCCAGTGGCTGGGAAGGATGCAGCAAACAATGTGGGGGATGAAGAAGATACGGGTACTAACCAGAGGATCACAAGTCACATGCAGAACAGAGCTGTATGCATCGATCAAGAAGATAGACTGTTCTGATACACATGTTAGCTTGTCGCCTTGCAAGTTGCGAAGCATCAAGATGTGACAGTCAAGGTGAAGATCAGATAGGCATGAATGGTAGTTAGGTTATGTTGTCTGCATCGGTGAACCCGGATAAGACTCGTCATCTAGAAATCATCAGGCAACGTGGAGGAAACAGGAAGAAAGGTTAGGCTTACCACCAAGGGGCATGAGCTTGTCAACATCAAGACATGTGAGCGCTACCCAGCAGTATTCTAGAGACACCGGCCAGTCAGCGTCGTGACGTCGTAGTTGCTTCAGCAAGAACATTGAAAGCCGAGATGTGTGTTCAGTGGACGAGGTTTTCTAGGCCTGTCACAGAAATGGCATGTCTGCTCATTGAAAATCGGAGCCCAGTGCCGTTTCATCATGTGGATGTCGGAGGAATCGCGGTGCGGGATTGTTGCATACCATCAGCGACGAGACTGTTGGCCATCGTGAGTAACTGCATCAACGTTAGCGTTCAAGCCGCAGACAAAGAAGGCAAAAGTGATGATGAGAAAAGAAGATTCAGAAACAGCCATTTGTTATCTTCAACGGAGACCTCAGTCGGTAATTCCAACTTGCCGAAGCAAAAAAAGTGATCATCAGAAAGAACGGAGGGGGAGTAATGAGGATGTCGACCTACCATCAACGAATGACCAAGCGAGCGCAACGGTCTGCCACGCACACCGAAAGTAAAGCGTGTCGCCGAGACCGTCGCGCCGGGGCGGTCGAGGTCCGACAGAAGCTAGATGACCAGCCCAGGAAGCAGGCATCGTAGCCGGAATAGAGAGGCACCACTATGGTCGAAGCTGTCAGCGAATTGTTGCGTCCAAGTTGTGCGCGACAGAACAGAATGCCGAGAGCTCGAGAGCTTTCAGACTGACGTGACAAATAGCAGTTTCATTCCTTGCGGTCAAAGACTCTAGTTTGTTTGCGGTTTGCGTGTGTCATCAGGAAGGAAGGGAATCCCAGAGGATGGAAGGAAAAGGGTCGTCGCGCGAACCTACCTGGTGCCGTCGTCCTGTCCCTCGCGCTGCAGTTTCTCTCAAAACTGCTACGAGGGGTTGGAAAGGAAGAAGAAAAAATCAAGCGCTAAAAATCTTCGCGGTGGAATCGATATAGCTCTTTTTAGTGGGGCAGAATGGAGCTTGGGTGCTGCGTCACGTGAGATCGCGCTAGCTTTGGCGGGGACGCGTCTCGGCGGAGTCGGGCGTATCGGCGGACAGGGGAGAAGACAGCTGAGCCACGGACTAATAACTTGACAATCTGCAAAGGCTGGAAATCCAAAGTGCTTTCCAAACGTCATCATCAGCCGTCCACCGAGCACCAACGACAACTCAATCGCGGTCAAAATGCCTGAAATTGCCGAAGGTAGGCCGTCCTTGCAGCCTGAGTCATCATCAGGCCGGTCAACGTACAATCCACTTACACAATCCACCATCTCCTGCAGTTGCAAGAGTCGTTCATTTTCTTCGCCAACATCTTGTTGGCAAGAAAGTTCGGATGGCCATTGCGCAAGAAGACAGCAGCGTATTCGGCAAGGTTGGCACTACCGGCCCCGAGGTAGCGGCCGCGCTCATGGGGAAGAAGGTAATTCCAGCTTCGACGCTCAGTCACGAGCTCTTGGCTGACACACACCTAGGTTGTCTCTGCAGGGAGTCAGGGCAAATACTTCTGGTGAGTGGCAGTCTCCAAACCAAAATTCGGCAAGGCGTGCACCTAGTTTTAACATAGCTCCTGTCAGGCTTGTCCTTGAGAAGCCCCCACATCTTGTGATGCACCTGGGAATGACAGGTACGCAGATGCGTGATATCAATGGCATTACCCGGAGGCCGAACTGACCTTTGTAACCATACGTGTTTGCCGTATCCCAGGATGGGTACATTTGCGGGGCATAAAAAGCGCCTACACGAACTACTATAAAAAGATGAAGCCCGGCGAGGAGGATCAGTGGCCTCCAAAATACGCCAAGCTACAGCTGGAGACAGAGGGTCCAAATAAGGTTGAGGTCGCCTACACAGACCCCCGGCGATTCGGCCGGATCCGCCTCGTCGACTGCCCCGGGGACGAGATCCGGAAGCACACGCCGCTGGTCGAGAACGGACCGGACCCCGTCGTGGACGCCGACGTCTTCACGCGCGAGTACTTTGCGGCCAAGATGACGGCGCGCCGGGTCCCCATCAAGGCCCTCCTGCTCGACCAGACGGTGATCAGCGGGATCGGCAACTGGGTGGGCGACGAGGTCCTCTTCCAGGCCCGGCTGCACCCGGAGCGCTACTCCAACGAGTGTAGCGAGGCCGAGGTGGGGCGGCTGTACGACGCCGTCCGCGACGTGTGCCGCACCGCCGTCGACGAGCTGGGCGACTCGGACGAGTTCCCGGCGCACTGGCTCTTCAACTACCGCTGGGGCAAGGGCGGCAAGCCCAGCCGGCTGCCCGACGGCGAGCCGCTCGCCTTCGTTACTGTGGGGGGCCGCACGAGCTGCTTCGCGCCCGCTCTACAGAAGAATAAGGGGGCCCTCCCGCGGGGTGCGAAAGTTATCAAGGAGGAAAGCGAGGAGGTCGAAAAGAAGGAGGAGATTAAGGCCAAAGAGCAGCAGGGATCAGATAAAGATGAGGAGCCGCCGGCTTCCAAGAGGAGACGGGTTGCAAAGGATGCCAAGGCAAAACCGGTCGCTTCGAAAGGAAGTCGACAGTCAAGTTCGAAGCGTCCAGAGAAAAAAGAGGTGAAGGAGGAGCCAGGGGTAGAGGCCGCGGCGGAAGACTCTGGAAAGAGGAGATCCGGGAGGCTTCGGGGGATAGCGAACGGGAAGCCGACGAACTGAATGCGGTGGTGCGTGGTAGTTATAGGAGGACTACGCATAGTAAACGATGCTTGTTGCGGTAGGCTTGATGGCGGGGTGGGCGATTTACTTTATTCAATCTCCCTAATACCTGCCCCTCGCCTCCGTACTCGGAAATCACAATAGACACATTTCTTTAGATTCCCAGCACTAATTCTATCACGCGTGAGAGTGCTCAAAACCGAGAGTTGTTTGTGTAAATGTGGTCATAAATCGTGGTGCTACGTAAAACCCCAAAATCCAAGTGTCGATGCAATGCGCTTGCTATGCCAAGGGGCCCATGTAATCCAAAATCCGAGCCAGTCTCGCCAGCTTCATAAAGTGTCCATGGTTCTCCCGAAATCGTGGAGTTGGTCAAGCCAAAAAAAAAAAAGGGGGGGGGATAGGAATCAAATTGGAGAGCCGCAAGAAAGAAAAAAACACAAACGACTCGGCATGAGGAGAAAGTCTGGCCGTATTGAAAACCCCCTCACACCTTCTCACCGAGGAAGCCGACAGAGTAATGATAAACCCCCGAGTCGTCCCACGAGATTGGGATGATGGTCAGGAAGTTTGTGAAGGCGGAGCCGTCCTTGCGGAAGTTTGGCACCTCGAGCTGCAGCTCGTCGTTGCGCTCGACGGACCGGCGCATGGAGCGGACCAGGTCCTTTGGCACGTGGCGGCGGGCCGACCCCTGCCTCACGGGGGAGCTCCGGCCGGGCGGGGCCTGCAGGAAGCGGCAGTTGTGGCCGACGACCTCGGCGGCCGAGTAGCCCGTCAGCTCCTCAAAGGGCCCCGAGACGTAGACGATGGGCGCGTCGGGCTGCGCGAGGTCGCAGAGCACCATGGCGCACGACGCGTCCACGGCCCCGAGGTCGACCTGGGGGTTTGGTCTGGCCATTACCCGGAACTGTGCGGATGGGGGAAAGAAGCGGGGGGCGTCAGCGGGGGGTCGTTTACTGGGGGTTGTTGCTCCGGAAGTAGAAAGAGGAAGAAGCAAGTTTCACGTACTAGTATGTCGAGCATGTTAAAGCCGCTCGTCGAGTAAAGTCCTGGGTAGATCAGGGGGTCTTGTTGGCTGTAGTCTGCGGCGCTCTGGCTACCATCGGCGGCCTTGAGGTCGTCCAACTGTCAGCTTCGAAAGCTCCCCCGCTTCGGCTGGACGATAACAGGACCGAAGAGCCAAGAACGGCACGCCAGACGGCAAACAAAAGCCCCTTACCTTCATGGCGGCCACCTCCCACGAGTTGAGCACCGGTGGCGGGCTGGGAGCCATAGAGTAACCGATGATATCTGTGGAATACATCAAGGGCCGGGGGGTAGCGATGATCGACGGGAGCCAAGGTTGTGAAGCCCGGGGCACTGCCGGGGGTTGGGTGTGAGAAGGAGGGTGGGAGATGGGGCCCTTCTAAATAGCAGACCCGAGTTGCGAGAGAGAGAGAGAGAGAGAGAGAGAGAGAGAGAGAGAGAGAGAGAGAGAGAGAGAGAGAGAGAGAGAGAGAGAGAGAGAGAGAGAGAAGGGCAGCGAAGAGGAAACAGCTGCAACCCGGCCTTCGTTTCGCTTGGCTATAGCGCCCGGTGATGGTGATGGTTTGTGGTACCCCGGATCGGGATCGAGTGTGGTCCGGAGGAGAGGCCGGGCAGACAAGACGGAAAAGTCGTGATAGGTAGGTATTTCGCCCTGGTGGGATGTGGTAGGAGGATATATGTGCAGATACCAAGAGCGAGCGAGAGGGAGGTTGTCAAGAAAACGGCCAGGTTGTACGGAATCAACCAAACAAAAGCCTGTCGCGGATCGAGATGGACGACTAGAGCACAGGCCAGGTCGGAACAAAGGCACGACGACACGGCCGGCAGCGACAGCGTCGGTGAGCACCTAACGGGACGGGATGGGCACCCAGCCAATGGACGGGCAGGGATGCATGTGTTGTTGTTGGCTGGGCCCCGGAGGAGGCTTCCAGCTCCTCCTGAGCCATGGCATGTGGGGGAGGGAGGGGGCATGTCAGGAAGCAAACAGGCAAAAAGAAAAAAAAAAGGAGGCGTCAACAAGCCGAGCTAGGAAGTAGCAAGCAACAACAGCATTTGGAACCGAAGAAAGGTTGTGTGGCCAGTGAAGACGCCGTGATCCAGGAGCCAAATGGCAGCCCTGGAGATCGGGGATGGGGCCCAGACTGCCCAATGCGGGCCACGAGGCCAAGGGGGGCCGGCGGGAGCCTCAACTTCGTTGGTGCCGATTTGGGACTGGGAGCAATCAGCGCCCGGATCGGGAAGCGGTCTTGGCGTGGAACCAAGGGATGGAAGAAGCGCTCCGTTAGGGTATCCACAGGTAGTTGCGCCTAGTAAGAGGTACAGTAGGGGAGCACCTAGATAAGTCAAATCCCGTGCTGTCTTTGGAACGGTGTGTTCCCTCTCTGCACGCTATTGCGTTCGTTCCCTGCAAGGCGCAATGCAAGAGCGCACGTCTTGTCTCCTCCCTCTCCTGCATGCCGGGGCCCTCGACTCGCCTGGCGCCAGTCAGATGGCCCCGATCGCCAACGTCCAAGACCGCCCCCGGGAGGCCCTGCGATCTATCGGCAAGACGGCCGATCCCCGACAGCGCGGGACGGGCTCAGATCTGGAGCCTTTGTGGTCCGATCGGCCATGGTTGGAATTAGGACCCTGCGGACGGGTTCATATTTTCTCC